AGGTCATGTCTACGGAAGGTAATTTTGGCTATGTTAGTGGGTTTCTTTCGATGACCTCTGGGGGGAATGGAGTAGCATTGTACTGATGTTGCATCATAGTCAGTGAGACAGGCGAGTAGGTCTTCTCCACAATCTGACCAATCTTTGTCATAGATTGGGCAATTTGTTGGTGAGATTGAAACGGTTCCGGTGCAAGTATTGAGGGTTGGATGGGGTTCTGCAAGGATAGGATTACCATATTGGTCAGTTAGTTTTGTTAATGCTGTAGCTTGGAATTCAGAGGTAACTGTGACGAGACGGGAGCGGTTGGGTCGGCTGCGGAAAGAGACTTAACCTACTTGTTTTTGGAGGCATTGTTGGAAGAGAAGGGTGTTGTCAGAGTAGGGAGCTGTGGGAAGGATCACGAAAAATCGGTCCCATTTGGCTGCGCTAAAGAGAGTATTCAAGATTGTTGTAGAGATAGGGGTAGTAGAAGGGCGGGGGCGTGATGAAGAGGGAGTAGTGTTAAGGGAGGTAGTGTTACGGAGAGGTGGGCAATAAGGCTGTAAGGTATTAATAAGGGAGGATGGGGTAGATGTTGGAGGTTGTGGGGGTAGAGGTGTTGAAGTTGAGTATGTTGGGAGATTGGGGGTTGGTTGTTGGCTACTGTACTAGTAGGTATTGATGAGGGGGTAGTTGTTGCAGTGTTCGGAGCCGTGGTCAAAGGAGAGCCTGGGGTCAGGGAATCGGGCGGGTTTACATCGTTGGGGCTATTTGATAAAGGGGCAAGCCTCATTGTCCCTAATAGTGGGGATATATTTTCATTATTGGCCATGGTAAGCCTGGATTATGTTGGGGATATAAACAGTCCACCCCTCAGGGTCCCCTTGAGGGGTAAGGGCTAGATAACTAAATCAGGGGAATACCGTGCCCATGGCTCCCTCAGGCCGTTCAGGACTGGCACAAAGTCAGCCTTTCATCCTTTCAGCGCGGCTCTCACACCTTAGGAAGGTGGATAGTAGAAGGGTTTGGTGAAGGGACAGAAACAAAAGTGGGAAGGGAAAAAAAAGACCATGCATAATTAGTTGAGTCGAGGGCTGAGTCCCAAGGTTGGGGAGTTCCCCATCATTGGGTCCCAGTCTCCGCCTCCTAAGCCCCCACACGACAACAACGGGCAAGGGATTGGGGGGCATATATAAATAATCATATATATATATGCATATTATGTGTATATATATATATATATATATATATATATATATATATATATATATAATATACATATTATGTGCATACATATTTATAAATACACATATATATTTATATATATACACATATATATGAATGTGTGTGTGTATATATATATATATATATATATATATATATATATATATATATATATACATATGTATATACACATATATATACATATATATGTATATATATACAAATACATGCATATAAATGTATGTATGTATGTGTGTGTATATATATATATATATATATATATATATATATATATATATATATATATATATATATGTATGTGAATGTATATGTATATGTATATGTGTGTGTGTGTGTATGGTTAATGGTTAATGGTTAAAAGCAAGATAAATGTGCTAGACATCTAAGGTCATGTAGCACTATAGTTAATGTTAGTGAAGAGTGGTTGAGTTAGTGATTAGTTGTCTAAGCTGGGCAAAGGAATTAGTGAGTGAAAGGGTTAAGGTCGGGTGTTATATTAGATAAAGGGTATGCATAAGAAAGGTTTCTTGAAGGCATACAGTAGATGGGTTATAAGAGGAAAGGATATGATGGTCAGGTCTGTGGGAGCGGAAACCGCGAATATTCCAATGAAGGATAGTTATACTTTCGTTGATTTAGTGATATAGATTGTAGTACGTGTTGGAGAATTTGAAGGGGAAGCAGCTAGAGGGTGGGATAAGGACTGAGAGGTTTGAGATGGGAGAGGTGTGGGAGTTGGTGTTCTATCAGGAGGGGTATTAGGAGATGGAGGGTCTGAGGAAGGGGATACTTGTGACATAAGGGATTCACGTGTGTATCCAGGAGGGAGTGGAAGGGATACAGGCGATGGTGGGAGAGTTAATGTGGGCAGGGTTGGGGTCAGGGGGGATAGGCTGTGTTGGGAGGGGGTAGGAGGGTAGGGTGTAGGGGGGATATCGTTAGGAGGAGGATGGATATCAGCAATTACTTGGAGTGTGGAAGTAGCAGGAGTTGTAGGTTGAGAGTTCATTAAGTAATCTTGAATATTTTCAATAGTTTCTTCTGTGGAGTTGGTTGGGGAGTTTTGGGGGATAAAGGATTTCTTGTGAGGGGGGGAAGAGAGGACTGGTGTCTCAAGAGTACGGGCAAAGGATGGTGGGGGTGATTGTGTGGTAGGGGAAGAGGGGGTGGAACGTTTGTTCTGTCTGTTACGGGGAGTGCGAGGAGGGAGAGGGGAAGGTGATGGGGTTGTAGTGGTGATTGGAGTATCTGTAGTAGAGATTGGAGTTTCTGGATTTAGGATGGCAAAAGAGTTTGACTGGGGAAGGTAGGTGGGGTTAGTGGGGGGGTTAGATGTAGGAGGGGTGGGTTTAGGAGAAGTGTTAGAATGAGCAGTATTACTGGAGTAAGGAGTAAGAGAGAATCCACGTCGACGTGCTTCCTGTCTGGCTTCACGCAGTGTGAGTCCGAGTTTGAATCTGAGAGTTGCTACCTCAGATACAAATTTGTAGGTGGGACAGCCCCTATAAAATACATTATGGGGGCCGCCACAGTTGGCACATGTGCGTGATTGTGCAGAGCAGTTAGATCGGGTATGGCCAGGTTAGGCACATAATGGGCATCTGGCTGTGGAACGGCAGTGTTTGGCTGGGTGTCCTAGACGCCAACAATTTTGGCACTGACGTGGAGGAGGTTGGTATGGACGAACAGGGAGGGATTCTCCTCCTATGTAGACGTTAAAGGGAAGGTCATGTCTACGGAAGGTAATTTTGGCTATGTTAGTGGGTTTCTTTCGATGACCTCTGGGGGGATGGAATAGCATTGTACTGATGTTGCATCGTAGTCTGTGAGACAGGCAAGTAGATCTTCTCCACAATCTGACCAATCTTTGTCATAGATTGGGCAATTTGTTGGTGAGATTGAGACTGTTCCGGTGCAAGTATTGAGGGTTGGATGGGGTTCTGCTAGGATGGGGGTACCATATAGGTCAGTTAGTTTTGTTAATGCTATGGCTTGGTTTTCGGATGTTACTGTTACAAGACGGGAGCGGTCAGGTCGGCTACGGAAAGAGACTTTACCTACTTGTTTTTGGAGGCATTGTTGGAAGAGAAGGGTGTTGTCAGAGTAGGGAGCTGTGGGAGGGATCACGAAAAATCGGTCCCATTTGGCTGTACTGAAGAGAGTATTCAAGATTGTTTTAGAGATAGGGGTGGTAGAAGGGCGAGGGCGTGACGAAGATGGAGTAGTGTTGATGGAGGTAGTGTTATGGAGAGGTGGGCTATAAGGCTGTAAGGTATTAGTAAGGGAGGATGGGTGGTTGATGTTGGAGGTTGTGGGGGTAGAGGTGTTGAAGTTGGGCATGCTGGGAGAGTGGAAATGTTCCTTGAGGGTTGATTGTTGGCTACTGTACTAGTAGGCATTGGTGAAGGGGCAGTTATTGCAGTGTTCGGAGCCGTGGTCAAAGGAGAGCCTGGGGTCAGGGAATCGGGCGGGTTTACTTCTTTAGGGCTATTTGATAAAGGGGCAAGCCTCATTGCCCCTAACAGTGGGGATATATTTTCATTACTGGCCATGGTAAGCCTGGTTATGTTGGGGATAAAAACAGTCCACCCCTCAGGGTCCCCTTGAGGGGTAAGGGCTAGATACTAAATCAGGGGAATACCGTGCCCATGGCTCCCTCAGGCCGTTCAGGACTGGCACAAAGTCAGCCTTTCATCCTTTCAGCACGGCTCTCACACCTTAGGAGGTGGATAGCAGAAGGGTTTGGTGAAGGGACAGAAACAAAAGTGGGAAGGGAAAAAAAAGACCATGCATAATTAGTTGAGTCGAGGGCTGAGTCCCAAGGTTGGGGAATTCCCCATCATTGGGTCCCAGTCTCCGCCTCCTAAGCCCCCCCACGACAACAACGGGCAAGGGATTGGGGGGGGGGGGTGTATGTGTATGTATATGTATATATATATGTAAATGTATATGTATATGTATATGGATGTATATACATATATATATATATATATATATATATATATATAAGCATATGTATATATATGAATATATATATATATATATATATATATATATATATATATAAGCATATGTATATATATGAATATATATATATATATATATATATATATAAATATATATATATATGTATATATATATATATATATATATATATATATATATATATATATAAAAGCATATGTATATATATATGAATATATGTATATATATGTATACATACATACATACACACATATAAATATATATATATATATATATATATATATATATATATATATATATGAATATATATTATATATATATATATATGAATATATATATATATATATATATATATATATGTATATATTTGTATATATATGTATAAGTATATATATATATATATATATATATATATATATATATATATATATATATATATATATATGTAATATCTGTCCATGTATACTGTATGAAAATGTTACAGATATAAAGGATGGTGGTGCCTTTTTTTCTTCCACAATTCATAATACTGTTTATAATAATAATAATGATAGAATTTAGAAAATAAAAGAAAATAGTGAAGTAGCTATAATAATAATAAAAATTATAATAACTACAATGGACAGAGAAGAATAAATTATAAGTGGTATTCATAGCAGGTAATAAATAATTTCTTTGTAATACAAATTAAAAGTCACCATATGTTGGCATTTCTCATTATGTAAAAAAAAAAGATACATCAACATGTTTGTCAGTCAATTCACATTAAGGATAGAAATTAAAACAAATTCCAGGTCAGAAATTGTACTTCATTCCATATATATAACTTCCTAAACTTCCATATTAACCAATAACAATTCACAATATCAAAATAATGATTTCTAAGAAAACACATATACAGTATATATATGGCTATATACCAGCATATCTATAGCCTATAGATACATATATATCATTTATGTCAGAGTCATGAATGATACTGTCTTGAAATCCAAATGTTGCTTATTATGAAGAGTATTATAACCTCAATATATATTTATTAACTATAAAGCCTTCTGTTCTTGTATTTTCTGATGTTAACATTAACTGCAATTATGAACATCCCCAAAAAAACACTCTGCTTGTAATATGAGCATGAAAAAAACATTGTTGGTATTATGAACATGAGAAAAACAAAACATGAAAGATAATAAAAAGTATAGACTAATTTACCAACTTTTTTCCAAGCCAGATCTCTATCTATATATGGCACATGCACACGCACACGCACGCACGCACACACACACACAAAAGCACACACACACACATATATATAAACACAGTGAAATCTAGACAGGTAAATAAATTAGAGGATTAATTTCATTACTGCTGACATGCTTATCTGATATGTTTTGCCTTAAAAATGAATAATAATGAAAAACAGACTATATAACATTAGCTATCACACTGTAAGTGAAGTTGCCTTAATCCACAGAAGATATGTTATAAAATACAATAATTCTATGTAGTTTCATAATAACTTATATAATACTCATCTCTTCTAAATCAATTTATTATTATTTTTTTTTCACAATACAGATTGTTTTTCTTTTCTTATTACATGCATCTCTCTTATTGTCTTTCAGATATGTATATAAGACAACCTTGAATGGGTGAATGTATACCAAACACAGAAATTCTTTTGCCATACATCTCTCAAAAAAAAAGAGAAAAAAGAAAAAAGAAAAGAAAAGGAAGCTTAACCAAATAATCCGAAATACACTTTCTGTACTAACTAGACATTTAATACTTATTTAAATTTAATCATTTAAACTTATTATTCGAGCAACTTGTAGCCACACAAAAGGCAAAGCATTTCTAACAAAATAAAGGTATAAGGTATCAGTACTTTTTAAATATCAGGTAACATTTCTGCCTTAGCATTAATTATGCAAAATCCATGATATTTGTGCATGGCAGGGACACTAATGGTAAACTGCAACCTTAAAATATGGACACATGTAAAAAATATACATATATAATGAAAATATAAGTCACATCCCAATTTCTTAACGTAAATCATAAAATAGACAAATTATGTGGAAACATTTCTTTCACAAGAAAATATGAAATAATTAGAAAATAATTCATTTTAGGTTTTTGATGGCAACTTTATAATATTAAAAAAAAAAATATCATATTCAATTCTGTTACTGAAAAATGTTCATACAGTTCAGTTTAAGCTGCACTGATTTACATTTTGGTAAATAGACTATTTTGATATGTAACACAAGCATCAGTAGGACGCCCCAAAAAAGCTAACAGTATTCTACATCCAAAATTGGCAAGCTAATTATTGTGCTCAAATAGTTTAATATGTGCATAATATATGTATAAACTGTATGCACATATAAATATTCATATATATGCAATATTTATATTTATACATATACTGTGCAAGTGTGATTATACATATATATATATATATATATATATATATATATATATATATATATATATATATATATATATATATATATATATATATATTAACAATACATGTGGTTAAAAATACTTTGGGAATTTAAACAAAAATTCAAATTTATTGAAATCTACATCAAGTTTATGCAGCAAGATTAAGTAATTACTCAAAAATGATTTTAGCTTTTCTTCTTCCACTCATTACGAAATTAGACGTAAAATTCAAATAACTTAGAAAAAAAAAGTAATCACACAACTTTTGTGGAAGAATTAACAAATATTTATTAAGGATCTTAGTTTAAAGGGTATATTATTGGCAAGTAACGATTATACAGTTTCTTGTCAATATCTAAGAAAAGACAGAAAATGACGCGTTCAAACTTATCCTTGTGGGCTTCCAGCATGGTTCTCACAACGGGCAAGACCAACTGCACAGCCTTTTCATTAGGGTAACCATACACCCCAGTGGAAATGCAAGGAAAGGCGATGGTTTTGATATTATTCTCCAGCGCGACCTGCATGGACCTCCGATAGCACTGTTCTAGCATGGACGGCTTCTCCCCAATAGGCCCGACAGTGTGGATGACGTAACGCGCAGGAAGGTCATATCCCCCGGTGATTTTGGCATCGCCCGTATCACATCCGTTGAGAGTCTGGCACTCATTCAACAGGAATGGCCCTGCTGCCCTGTGGATGGCACCGTCAACCCCTCCACCTCCGAGCAGGCTGTTATTGGCCGCGTTGACAATGGCATCGATTTCCAGTTTCGTAATATCGCCATAGAAGACTGACACCTTCTCGTTGATCTCGGCGTCCACTTGATACCTGCATTCATCCTTGAACTTGTCTACTAGGCTCTGTGGATGTGCAGCTGTAGAAACGCTGTAAGAGTTCTCCTTGTAGAAGGCAGGCCAGGAAGGGATCTTCTTCAGCTGGATGAATTTATCGCCGCAGCTGTAATCCCTCCTCCTCTCCTTCCGATTCTGCGAGAGCTTCTCGAACTTGACTTTCTGGAAGTGATTATTGGAACTCATGGCGCTGGAGTTATTTCTCGACAATATCTGGGTGACTGATCCCGTTCCACTGTTTATGGCTGTCAGCACTGTCCCTTGACATAGGCCTCGTAGGAAGTTAGTCGGAAACCGCAGAGAATTCTTTAAAAAACGTCCGCCGGGAGATGCTGTAGGAGTTGTTCGGGACGCGAAGTAAACAAGTGCCATTTTAGGGGAACAAATCATAAGCAAAGATATATACGGCATTTGTTTGATAGACTTATTTTTCATTTTTATTTCTATTTTTATTTCATGAGGTCAAAAATTCAATATTAAACCTTCGTGTACTAATTATGCTCATGTTATGTCGATAGGTTAAGTGTTAAGCAGTTTTTATTTTTCTTAAATATTTCGCTGCATGTTTCGATGCACCGCCTCCTATTTACTCGTATTTCCCTTTGGATTTAAACATTTTAGTAATACAACATATAATACTACAATGTCCAAGATTTCACTCTTACAGAACAGACCTGATGGAAGCTTTAAAAAGAATCAAAATGAATAATAGAATAATAATAATATAGACTTATTACTCCCAGGTGCTGATCTCCCACCAATAAAGAAGGACTACATTTTAAGACACACAAAAATATCCCTAAAGAAAACGAAACTAATAGAAATAATATAAAGAAAAGAAAGAAGAAAGAAGAAAGAAAAGAGATCCAGGGGATATAGACTAGACAATAGTCTAAAACCCTATAAAAGAAGAAAGAAGAAGGAGAAGAAACATTTTAGTAATATCGCAGAAAGTAATATCGCACGAAAATGTATATGATACTTCAAAACTACCAATCAGAAAGCAAAAAAAAAAAAGAGAGAATTATACTGAACAAATATAAGGGACGATAAAATGAAAAATGAATAAAATATAAAGTGACGATAAAATAAAAATAAATATATATAATGATAAAATAAAATGACAGAGAAGCAGATAATTATACTGAACAAATATAAGTGACGATAAAATAAAATGACAGAGAAGCAGATAATTATACTGAACAAATATAATGACGATAAAATAAAATGACAGGGAAGCTAACAAAAAGATAATTATACTGAACAAATATAAATGATAAAATAAAATGAAAGAGCAAATAATTATACTGAACAAATATAAATGACGATAAAATAAAATGACAGAGAAAAAAATAGATAATTATATTATACTGAACAAATATAAATAACGATAAAATAAAATGACAGAGAAAAAAATTATAATTATACTGAACAAATATAAATGACGATAAAATAATATGACAGAGAAAAAAAAGATACTTATACTGAACAAATATAAGTGACGATAAAAAAATAAATAAATAAAAAGTGACGATAAAAAAAATGTAAGTGACGATAAAATAAAAATAAATATATATAATGATAAAATAAAATGACAGAGAAGCAGGTAATTATACTGAACAAATATAAACGACGATAAAATAAAATGACAGAGAAGCAGATAATTATACTGAACAAATATAAGTGACGATAAAATCAAATGACAAAGAAGCAGATGATTATACTGAACGAATATAAATGACGATAAAATAAAATGACAGAGAAGCTAACAAAAAGATAATTATACTGAACAAATATAAATGACGATAAAATGAAATGATAGAGAAGCAGATAATTATACTGAACAAATATAAGTGACGATAAAATAACATGACAGAGAAGCAGATAATTATACTGAACAAATATAAATGACGATAAAATAAAATGACAGAGAAGCTAACAAAAAGATAATTATACTGAACAAATATAAATGATAAAATAAAATAACAGAGCAGATAATTATACTGAACAAATATAAGTGATGATAAAATAAAATGACAGAGAAGCAGATAATTATACTGAACAAATATAAATGACGATAAAATAAAATGACAGAGAAAAAAAAGATAATTATACTGAACGAATATAAATGACGATAAAAAAAAAATATATAAAGTGACGATAAAATAAAAAAATAAATAAAATATAAAGTGACGATAAAATAAAAATAGATATATATAATGAAAAAATAAAATGACAGAGAAGCAGATAATCATACTGAACGAATATAAATGACGATAAAATAAAAATAAATACTTATGATGATAAAATAAACTGACAGAGAAGCCAACCAAATCGCCACAACGCGACCCGGACCGAGAGCCATAAAATAAAATGACAGAGAAGCAGATAATTATACTGAACAAATATAAATGACGATAAAATAAACTGACAGAGATGCTAACAAAAAGATAATTATACTGAACAAATATAAATGACGATAAAATAAAATGACAGAGAAGCCAAACCAATCGCCACAACGCGACCCGGACGAAGACCCGAGGTGTGAAGACGACAGCCAAGCGACTGACTCTCTTCTGTCTGTAAATATGAATGTTGAAAGACTTCCCAATGAGAGAAAATTGGCCATATGCAGGAAATACTTTATGGGTAAGTGCTCCTCCGTGTGTTATCTGGCCAGAAATATGTACTATTGGGGCCGATAGAAGGAGGAATTCATCGTGAGTCATTGAGGTGTGAGGTTTGTTTTCACTTTTTTCTTCTTCCTCCTTCCATTATTTTTTTTTTTTTCTCTCCATAAAATATATTTAATTTATAAGCAGAGGCTTCCTGTTCGGTGATTTCATAGAAGAAGAAGTAACAACCTGTGATTACAATCGGGTTTTTATTTGAGTGCCTGCCAGAAGCATCAAGGAAAATTGACGTGACAGATTTTCTTAACCCAAGAAGATACGAGGTCAAATTTTCAGTGTATTTCAGGCTTAAAATTGAGACACTTTTCATTACGAGGTCAAATTTTCAGTGTATTTCAGGCTTAATATTGAGACACTTTTCATTACGAGGTCAAATTTTCAGTGCATTTCAGGCTTAAGTGTATTTCAGGCTTAATATTGAGACACTTTTCATTACGAGGTCAAATTTTCAGTGCATTTCAGGCTTAACACTGAGGCACTTTTCATCTATGGCATTTCGAGCGCAAATAGGAAATAAAGGCGATACGTGACTGAGAAGAGACGAGATCGACTCCGCTTTTTCCTTTCCTTTTTTACATTGCGAGGATAAGCACTAATTTGGGCCACAAAACTCTGTAATGGGATAGTTTTTATACTATTTTATGCTTGATAAACACCTGTGAGAAATGTTTGTTTTCAGTTTTCAATTCTAGGCACCATATAAAGCATATAGTATAGGTCTCATGGGGTTTAGATAGGTTGGATTATTAGTTAGGATATATTGTATGAAGGCCACAGGTCCAGGGGTGGAGCTTCCTGGCTAGGGGCTTTGGAGGGTGTAAATTGTGTGTGTGTCTATTGCCAATAGACTTTCAGAGGTGGTGGACACGTTTGTAGTGTTTGATTAGCTGATTTGGTCAATATGTAGTATAAGGTAGTGGCAGAGTTGGGTAATAAAACCTACATGAAATGATAGAACAATACAAACCAAGACAAGGTTCTTCTATGGGAATATGTGTGCAAATGCTTCCCAAGGGTGCTATATGTTAAAGAAAAGAGAAGATCCCCTGGTCAATATGTAGTAGAGGGTAGTGGGTTACTTTCAAAATGATTTTGATTTTTTTTTCTGAATGAAATCCACTGTTTTCAACGATTCTAGGCATTGTCCTTGTGCAAATGAATCGTTGAGGAGATATAATCACCATCTCCATCGACAATCTTGATTTGATAGTCCCGATAGTAGGGGAGGGTATGATGGGTGACGCCGATAGGCGTGAAAACAAACCGCTCAAAAGCTGGCGTTCGGCTGTAAACAAGATGAGCGACTTAGCCAAAATTGGTGGATCTTCTCTTTTCTCTCATGTATAGCACCCTTGGGAAGCATTTGCACACACATCACCATAGAAGAACTTTGTCTTGGTTTGTATTGTTCTATCATTTCATGTAGGTTTCATTACCCATCTCTTCCGCTACCTTATACTTCATGTAGGTTTTATTACCCAACTCTGCCACAACCTTATACTATATATTGTCTGTTGAATAAATCTGATGATATGAATTGCCAATTGCCATAATAAAAAAAGTTAACCAGTAAGGGGTTATCCCTATTTTTTTATCATTTTTGTAAGTGTACAAAATGTACTCTTTTCTCATGATCTTCACCACACTTTTCAGTATTGGTAGACAGGCTTGCTGTTAGTCCAATCATCCTTGCATCAATATACAGGCTTGCTATTGTTGAAATTCCCCTGAGTTTCAGGATTTAGTTGAAATGCACTATCAAATGCCTTCTTGAGGTCAATGTATGCAGTAAGCAGCCCATGATCAAACTTGCAACAGTTTTACACAAAATTATCAATAAATCTAGTTTGTGCATTGTGTGGGTTTTTCTACCATAGTATCAACACAGTAGAGTGTTTTATCATTCATTTATATATGTGTGTGTGTGTGTGTGTGCGTGCGTGCGTGCGCGCGTGGGCGTGCTTATATGTATATATGTTTATACATATATATGTATATATATACATGTATGTATATGTATATATGTTTATACATATGTATATATATACATGTATGTATATGTATATGTTTATACATGTATATGTATGTATATGTATATATATTTATTCTATATATATATGTTTATGTATATATGTATATGTATATGTATATATGTATGAATATGTATAAGTATATGTATATATATGTATATATTTATGTATATATGAATATATGTAGATATAAATATGTATATATATGTATATATGTATATGTATGTATATTTGTGGATATGTTTATATATGTATGTTTATGTATATATATCTGTGTGTGTGTGTGTGTGTGTGTGTGTGTGTGTGTGTGTGTGTGTGTGTGTGTGTGTGTGTGTGTGTGTGTGTGTGTGTGTGTGTGTGTGTGTGGTAGAAAAACTCTCAATGCAAAAACTATTTAGATTTTTTTTTTACAGATTTTTGGTTTAAATGTATATATAACAACCCTGCACCTATGTATATTTGACAAGATAGCTGTTAGAATGATTCCTTTATTGAATAATAAATAGGAAGGAAAATTCTCATTACTATTATATATGTATATGAGATGTAATATAGATAGATAAATCAGTAATTTTATCAGAGTTTGTTGGGATATGAAGATTATGTATGTCAAATTTTGATGTTAAAATTGTATCATGTTTACCCTTAT